CTACAAAGGGATCTCCTTTCTTAAGTCAGAGTCCTTCCCAGCCCGAGCAGCCGACAGTCCGGCCGGAGCACGGAGCACCCCAGCACCACCCGCCTCTGGCTGAACTGCTCACTAGGGCCCCTGGCCTGGCTCTGGCCCCCTGGACGGACGCGGTACGGCTTCCTGGGCAGTCCCGAGTCTGCGCTGCTCTAATCCCGCACCCAGCAGGGCGTGAGACTGGAGCTTCTCACTCACCTGGGAAGAAGTTAAAGAGCACGTGGCCTGAAGGGGCCCCCAAAAGGTAACGGCAGTAAGGACCACGAGGCACGACGGCAGGCCCTGGCTGCCAGGAGGACAGAGTGCAGCGGGGGGGCAACGAGGAGCCAGCAGCCGTGGGCTGGGGGGCGGCCCGGGCAAGGCGGCCCGGGCACGGAGGTGTCTGTGGGCAGGGTGGGTGGCCGACGGCCTGGTACGAGCCCACGCTGTGGTGTGCCTGCCTGCCAAGGCTCCTTCGAGATCAGGCCTCACTTCCTAAGGGGTGCAGGTGGTGTACCATGGGGATCACCCCCTCTCAGTTAGGGGAAATGTTCCTTTGGGAGCTGATTTCAGCAGAGCTGGCACCAGGGAAACGGAGATGGTGAGAGGCCGAGGGGTGGGGTGAGAACAAAGTGGGAGCCACATCTGTGTGCCACCACCTCACACCGAGACGAGGCAGGTGACCTGTAGGTGAGTGCCTGGCCCCACGGAGCCACACTCACCCGTGACCCAGCACTCGGGGAAGGGGTAGGAGGCGATTTGGTGGCAGCATCAGGTCAACAACACTGTGCTACCCGGACTGTGAGCATATTTGTAAGTGACCTTTGTTTCATGTCTCCCTTCCAATTTTTGTGCAAATTTCTCCCGTGGCCAGTGCTAACTCGGGACCATAAAGAGCAGGGAATTCTGGGAGAACTAGTTGCAGCTTAGCCCATATCTGGGGGTGCCTCCCTGCTTCCTCTGCCCCTCTCCATCCCCCGTCTACCCCTGGGGGCAGACATCCATCTGTGTTTCAGAAGCACATGTGCCTGAGGCTCCCTCAGCCCCCCACAGCCCAGGGGGCATTTGTCTCTGTGGGTGCTGGTGGGCGGGGCTGGGAGAGAGGATCACCGAGGGGAAACTGCCCGGGCCCAGCCACACGGGGAGCACGGCCAGGGAGCACCGGCCCCGCAGCAGCGTCGGAGCCAGCTCAAGCACAAGTTCCTGGTGCGGCCCTCTGGGCCAGCTCCCCAAGTCCACCAGGATCCCAGCACATCTGGAACGCACCAGATGGCAAGAGCAGCGACTTAACTCGACAATGACAGAAGCGGGCCATCATGGGAACGGGCTTGCACTGCCTCTCCAGCCCTAAACCTTGGAAAAGACTGAGCTCTGGGGCCCAGAGGGTGGTCCCTGGAGCACGGCTCACCAAGCTCTCCCTCAAGGCCACCCTGAGCTAGGATCCCCACTGACCCAGAAAAAGTAAGTTGGCTCCCTGGGGACCTGGGTTCTAGAAGAATCTCTGGAGCCCTGCTCCAGTGGATTTGTTCCCTGAAGCCCAGTGAGGCCATCAGAATAAGTCTGCAGAACAAGACTCAGGCCCCCTCACAGAGCCCCTGTTGGGGAGGTGCTTGAGGCCCGTTCCTGGGTGCCCTCCAAGGGCAAGCAAAAAGCTTCCCCCCCCCTCCAGCAGCCAATAGGCTTCTCTCTTTTTCATGGTTCAGGGCATTCCATAGTGGAGTCCTAGTGGCTTTTTGCTGAACAGTCACCCCCTCTACAGACAGGAGATGGGCTGGGACCCGGATAGGCCTGGGGCCAGGTCGGGTGTCAGCAGCATCTGCACTGGTCTGCAAGGAAGGCAGTGCTCTCCCTCAGCATCCGCCGCTTAGCCATCAGCCATGCACCTGTCCCCTGCCCATTGGAAATGGGGTGGCTGGGGGGGTACAGCGGCTCTCCACTCCTCGGGGCTCCACCAGCTGCCCCAGGGTACAGGCCGCAACAGGACAGGGCTAGACAGACGTGGACTGGCACCGTGGGCCAGGCAGAGGGCGCCGGAAGGAGACGAGAAGGAAATGTGGACAGGGGTATCGAGGCCTGCGGGGACGTCTGCGACCGCCTCCTCTGGGATGCAAGTATGGCACCAGAGGCTCTGGGGAACTAGGGACAGGGGCTCCCCCAGCAGTCTGCTCAGCCAGTGTGTTCCTCCTCCAATTCCCACGCAAGCCTCACCGGGGCCTGAGAGGGGTTCTCAGGCACGTGACCTGCTGCTCAGCCCCGACTGACACCCCCTGACTTCAGCGGTAGCACTCCGTTCCACGGAACAGGAAGCAGAGGCCCACCCATACTGACCCATACCCCGGGGCCAAAACCTTAAGCTCCCCTCACCTGCTTTCCCGCAGCCCGCCGCAGGTGGCTCCCACCTGGCCTTCCCAGCTCCCAGCCACCCAGCAGGAGCTGCGGTACCAGCATCCTCTCCTGTGCCCACGGCCGGTGCTCTTTCAGCAGGTGTCATTCGGAGGCTCTTGTACCACGCAGCCTTGGACAATCGCATCTCCCCGCAGCTGACAGAAGCCAGAGAAAGTTGGCTGAAGCATGGCAGGGGTCACAGGGGTACCTGGGGAGGGCTGGAGGGCCAGGCTCAGAGGCTTTGCAGAGAGGAGCGAGGGTCTGAATCCCACTGCTGCGCTGGGCAGGTGAAAGCACTCCTATGGCTCCCCTCACAGACCCAGCCCACTCCCCAGGACACAAGCCTCACTGCCCCTGCTGGCACCAGCTCACCCGAGTGCAACCTACGTGGCCCCAGATTCACCCGCCACACGCCCAGGCCCTAGCTTCAAGGGAGGCAGGAAGAGCGCCAACCTGGCATTTTCTGCTCCTCTTGTGAGCAGAGCTCAGCCTCATCAAGCAATTTCCTAGGACAGAAGACATGAGCAGTGCCCATGGGGCTCACCTACATGGTCCAACAGCTTCCTGCTGCCCTTACTGTGAAACCCAGTCATACCCACATCCCTGAACACCACCCCTTCAGAGAGCAACCCCCCCCCCAGCCACCGTGGGTCCACCGGCCTTGTGCAGCTCAGTAGCTTGGTCTGGTTCTTCTCCCTGACAGCAAGTCTGTTTGCAAGTGGAGGTGCTATGAAAATGTTGGTGCCCATTCTCCTAGAAACCCCACAAGTGTCCAGATTTTCTCAGTTGCTCACCAAGTGTTGTTAATGTTGTTCCATGGTGAGATCTTCACATTTAGGACAACTCAAGTTAAAACACACTTGGCGTCCTTTAAAAACCCTATCACATTTTAACGCTGCCTTTCTCACCAAGGATGCTATGGGCGTTAGAAGCATCACAGCTCTTTGTTGCATGATCCCACTCCGTGCAGTGCACGCCTTAAGCAATCCTCAGTCCCAGGATGTCAGTGGCCCCAATAGCTTAGTGAAGAAAACCATGATTCTTCCCAATTTCAAAAGGGAAAAGGGGACACCATCCTAAAATGAGGACCAATGCAACCCCCAAAATTTTAAGATTCACCTATAAAATAGAAGGCAGGCCTGATCATACCCTAGTCTCCTCATCCAAGTGCCTCACCTACCCTCTCACTGGAAAAGTCTCCCATGGGTACTAGACAATCCTTTTTCTGGATCCCTCCTCCAGGCCCAGTAGACCGTTGTTCCCTCCACAGCCCAGAGCAGAGGTGAGACATGGCTGAAACATTCAATGAAATTTATTGAAAAGAAAACATATTGCAACCGTTGAAGACAGGGAATGACAACTGAGAGAGGAACCGTCACTAGAGCCCATAGGTCACGGCCCTCCTCCTCTCAGGGACCTCCGCGTCCCCCCCTCCCATGGCCCTCCTGCCAGTCTCCCTTCCCCAGGGCCCCACAATCAACCTCTGGCCAGGATGATGGACGCTGGCCATGTCCCCTCACGCCAGGACACCCTCCCCTCTGGCAGACATGCTGGGGCCTGGTCCTGCCCTATGGCCGGCACGGGACAGTCCCAGGACGCTGGAAAAGGCAGCAGGGGACCCTCGGCCAAGCCAAGGAAACTGAGTCACAAGTGACAACAGATGGCACATCAGAGCACAGTTCCCATGGAGACAGCCGCAGGCCACTTCTGTCGTTGGGCCAGTTCTTCCTTCCGGAGGTCACGAGGGGTGAGCACCAGCCGTGCCCTCCTCCGTCCGTCCCGCCGTCTCCTGGAACTGGGTCAGGGCCTCCGGGGTGGGGTGGGGGCAGCTGCTCAGATAAGAACACACACACTTCTCCACAAGAACAAGCAGCATTCGGCCTAAATCTACACGGAGGAAGCGGAGGTTGAGCTCACCACGGTGAAGGAGAGCGAGCAGAGCCTTGGTGGACACAAGCTCACGACACCCGTGCTGACAGGTGGGTGCCCCGGAGGCCAGGACGCCCACGGCGGGTTCCTGCACACCTCAACGTTCTGCATGGAAATGATAACCAGTGGGGGGGGGAGTAACTGGACATGTGAATCACTGAAGAGCCCACAGAAACACAAGTGGGCTTCCCAGAACATGGGGCAACGTGCCCCGGGGGTCAGTGAATGAGGGTGTCCCTCTTGGGAGGCCCAAGAGGCTGGCACTTTTGAGACGGCCTCTAACATCTCCTAGTGCAGTGTGGGTGGAAGATGGCTTCAAGTGCCCCTCACCTAGACCAGGAGCCAGACTCAGGGATGCTTCCCAGGCTGGCTGCCTCAGCTGACAGGCATTGGGGCTGGGACTAGGGCTGGGGGTGGTACTGCCATGGGAGGGGGCAGCTCTCCCCGCCCCATTTGGTGTCAAGCATGGCCATCTGGGTCACTTGGAAGGGCTAATAGTGGTGGCTAGGGTGCCTTGGGAAGGTGGGGTCGTGGGAATTTGTTTGGGCCGGGTGGGCCCTTTGCTCAGCCCTGCTCCTCATGTGGGGTGAGGCTGCTGCCCTGGCTTGGCCTCCCCCTGCCTCCAGAGCTCGGCAGCCTGAGAGGAGAGGGGGCCCCTGGGCCTTCTGAGCCTATTTGCCTGAGGAGGACTTGGGGAGGCCCGTCCCCCCAGCCCCATCCTCGTTTCCTGACTCGTCTGGGATGGGCTTGAGCCCCTCCTCGAGGGGCTCCCCAGCCTCCCGGTCTCCTGCCTGGGCGAGGCCCTCTGGCCCACAGCCAGGACCTCCTGGGCCCACCCCAGAAGCAGTGCCCATCTGGGCAGGGGTGGGGCCCCCAGGGGCCTCTGAGGATCTTCCCTGACCTAGGCCTGCAGAGGCAGGAGCATCTTCATCTTCCTGAGTGGCAGGGAAGACCTTGGAGGCCTCCCCAGAGGCAGGGGTGGCCTTGGCACCATCGTGGGGCTCAGGAGCAGCTCCATCAGCTTCGGCAGTGCCGGGAACGGCCTCATCGGCCTCTAGGTCGGCGGGAGCAGGCTCGGCGCGATCTTCATTGGCTGGGGAGGCTTCGGCAAGCTCTTGCCCGGCGGCGGCAGCCGGCACAACAGCCAGGACCCTGACATACAAGGGGGACCCTTCTTCCACTTGGAACTGCTCACCCGTAGCTGGGGCGGCCTCCCACGCCTCGGCCTCGCGGATGAGCCGCAGCATCCCCAGGAAGCCGGGTGGTCTCCTCTCCAGCCGCATCCTCTTCAGCTTGTTCTGGAACATCTCGTTGGAGCGAGCCCGCATCAGCACCTGCCTGGCGCGAACCTGGTCCGCGATGATGGGATGGATGGCCCCCTTCTCCACGGCCGCCTGCAGCAGGCCTTCCAGGCGCATCACGTAGGCAAACAGAGTCTCCTGGGGCCGCTGGGCGCACGTCAGGAACTTCAGCCGTGCGGTCACGCAGGGATCCTTGTCTCCGAACACCTGCACCATTGCGGCCAGGCAATCCTGCGCAAGCATGTTGGGATTTTCGGCCAGGAGGCCGCACATGAACTCGAGCGCGAGGCCCCCCAAGCTTTCCATCAGCCACCGCCTCCTCTCCCCTTCTGGCACGTGGCGCCACATGAACAGCATGTCGTTGGCGTGCTCCAGCCAGACCTCAAAGGACTCTTGGTCTGGATCTTCCATCCCGGAGAAGGTTCTCAATTCCCCATAGGCCGCGTCTTCTGGCACAGGCTGCCAAGCCTGGCCCCACTGCTGGATCCAGGATCCTCCCTCATCTATGGCTCCTGCAGCTCCTTCCTCCTCTGCAGTGCCCGCCTCCCCTGCTGCTCCTGCCATACTCACAGATCCCGGCACACCTGCAATTCCTGTGTCACCTGCGGCTCCCTCCTCATCAGACACTGCCCCTTCATCTTCTGCTCCTGCCACACCGGCAGCTCCTGCCTCACCGGCAACTCCTGCCTCACCGGCAACTCCTGCCACACCTGCTGCTCCTGCCTCACCTGCAGCTCCTGCCTCACCTACAGCTCCTGCCACACCTGCAGCTCCTGCCACACCTGCTGCTCCTGCCTCACCTGCAGCTCCTGCCACACCTGCAGCTCCTGCCTCACCTGCAGCTCCTGCCACACCTGCAGCTCCCTCTTCACCGAGTACTCCTCCATCTTCTCCTACCAAACTCACAGCTCCGGCATCTTCAGCTCCCTCATCTAACACTATCCCTTCATCTTCAGCTCCTGCCTCACCTACAGCTCCTGCCTCACCTACAGCTTCTTCCTTACTTTCACATCCTTTATCACCTGCGGCTCCCACCTCACCTGCTGCTCCTGCCTCACTTGCAGCTCCCACTTCACCTATGGCTTCTTCCTCACCTGCAGCTCCTGCCTCACCTGCTGCTCCTGCCTCACCTGCAGCTTCCTCACCTCCATGCCCTTCCTTACTTGCACCTCCTGCCACACCTGCAGCTCCTGCCTCACCTGTAGCTCCTTCCTCTCCTTCACGCCTGTCCTCACTTGCAGCTCCTGTGACACCTGCAGCCCTTTCTTTACCTACAGCTCCTGCCTCACCTGCCTGGCCGGCCCTTGCTTCCATCTGGGGCTGGGCAGGGAAATCGGGTCTATCCTGTGAGTCTGAATCAGGAGCCTGGGGCAGAAAGACCACAGGCCAGGGTCCTCCTTTGCCTGCTATTTGTCGGGGGATCAAACTTCGGTTTAAATACTGAGCAAACTCCACTAAGGCGACCCTGGATCCGAGCTCCTTTCTGAATGCTTTGCCCAGCACTCGGTATCTGCCCAGGGGCCACAGGGCAGCCTTCACTGCATCCTGGAATTCCTCTTCCTCGCAGTCATCTGGGATGCCCAGGATGAGCAAGGAACGGTGTGCATTCACGCCCATCCACCTGCACCAGTCATGCAGTATTGCCAGTGGCACTGCCATTGCTGAAAACCTGAGAATGGAGAGAAATGACTGGACAGGTGCACACAGACCGTCACAGTGTGAGCCTCAGCCTGTGGGTGCAGTGGGGTGAGAGTCACGTTCATACCACACAGCCCACCTCCTACCACATAGCCAAAGCCCCATGTCCCTCATGGTGGTGGCCTGTGGTGCGTCCACTCTCCATTCTGTTTGATTTTAGAAAACCTTTCTGATAATACACTGATTTAGGATGTATAGAAGTAGTCATATTTTCTATTTTTCCTGGCATTACTTTTAGGAAGTTGCTTACTTCACCCCAAGAACTATGTCCAGTTTTTACATTTTTGACATACACTTTCCCATTATATTCACTGCATTTTGTTTTTAATGTCTGATGTGTAGTGATAGCACTCTTTCATTCCTGGTGTTGGCAGTTAAGTGTTTTTTTTTTTCTTTATTAGACTCGCTAGGGTTTCAGCAGTTTTGTTTCTCTTTAATTAAAAAAAAGGGGGGATGCCTGGGTGGCTCAGTGGTTGAGCATCTGCCTTTGGCTCAGGTCATGATCCCAGAATCCTGGGATGGAGTCCCACATTGGGCTCCCCGCAGGGAGCCTGTTTCTCCTTCTGCCTGTGTCTCTGCCTCTGTCTCTCATGAATAAATAAAACCTTTTTTTTTTATTTATGATAGGCACACAGTGAGAGAGAGAGGCAGAGACATAGGCAGAGGGAGAAGCAGGCTCCATGCACTGGGAGCCCGACGTGGGACTCGATCCCGGGTTCCCAGGATCACGCCCTGGGCCAAAGGCAGGCGCCAAACCGCTGCGCCACCCAGGGATCCCCAAATAAAACCTTTAAAATAAAAATAAAATCAATAAAATAAAAACCCAACATATAGCTTTGTTAAAAGTCTCCAATTTGGTTTACATTACTGACTTATTCTGTTAGGCATAGTATCTCTTCAACCAACTCATTTTGCATTATTTTAACCTTTTTTTTTAATTTTTTATTTATTTATGATAGTCACAGAGAGAGAGAGAGAGAGAGGCAGAGACACAGGCAGAGGGAGAGGGAGAAGCAGGCTCCATGCACCGGGAGCCCGACGTGGGATTTGATCCTGGGTCTCCAGGATCGCGCCCTGGGCCAAAGGCAGGCGCCAAACCGCTGCGCCACCCAGGAATCCCTATTTTAACCTTTTTTATAGTTTGTTTAAATGAACCATTAGGTCACTAACTTTATGCCCTTTTTCTTTTCTAATATACGTACTTCCAGTAATGCATTTTGTTCTCATTGCTTCTTTAGCTGCCTCACTAAATTGGGTAAGTGGTATTTTTTTATTATTATTCAGTTTGAAATCTTTTCTAAGTTCCTCAGTGTTTTCTTCTCTGAGCCATGGGTCTCCAAATATTTCAAGCTATCCTATCATGATTCATTTTATTTTTTAAGATTTTATTTCTTTGAGAGAGCGAGCACGTGCGCACAAGCGGGGGCGGGGGGCAGGAGTGAGGCTAAGCGGGGACGGACCCGGAGGCGGGGCGATCCCAGGACTCCAGGGTTCATGATCTGAGCCAAGGTGAGGCGCTTAACCAACTGAACCAGCAAGGGGCCCCTATCTTTAATTTTAAATAAAATACCCCGAGACCAGAGAAGTTAGTACGTAAAAGCACAATCCTTTAAAATTTACGGACTTTTTTACGACCCAGCATATGGTGTTATATGGGTGCGAAGCACTCTTGCTCCGTATCTCTAGTTTCTGTCGAGAACAAGGTTTCGTCCCTCCCGCTGCCAAAATCCCTCTGCCATCTCCCACGGAAGCCACCCGGGCCCGTCGGATTCCGGGTGCGGGGTCCCAGAGCCCCTCCGGAACCCCGGAGGCGCTCCCCGCCCCCCAGCGAGCTCTGTCCTGTTTGCGCCGCCGCGGAGGAGGGAGCGGCCCGCGGCCCGCGCCCCCCGCAGGCGGAGCCCGCTAGCGTCCTGGAAGCGGGGCGCCCCCTCCGCCGAGACCTTAGCCTTCCCCTGCAGCCTCACCGCGGGGAGCTCTCCCCTCCCCACCGTCCCCGCCCGCGGCCCATCCCCCTCTCCGTGGCCCCCAGAAGCTGCGCGCCTTGCCCCGTGTGCGCCTTGCGCCATCGCCAGCAGCAGCTGTGTCCCCAGCCGTCCCCTCCGCCCCGCCCCGCCGGCAGCCCCCCCCCCCCCCTCCAGAGGCCCGAGGCCGCCTGCCTTCCCACTCAGGCCCCGCAGCTCCCCTCCCGCCTCCGGGGTCCCAGAGCCCGCTCCACTGCGGCCACCTCAGCGGCGGGCCCTCCCCGCCCGTCCCCCCCAGGACACCTCAGGGCTCCCCCGCCTCCCCAGCGCCCCAGAGCTACCCTCACGTGCTCTCAGCACCCCACTAGGCCATCGTGCCCTGCCGCCTTCCCGCAGCACCCCAGGGCCCCCACTCCCACACGTGCCGCTTGCGCAGCCAGCGGCTCTGCCCTTGGGCCCCCCCCACCTGAACGTCCCACGCCAGACCGCTCACAGCTAGCAGGTCGCCTCCGGGGCCCCCAACACTGGGGTGCCGTTCCCTTGGCCCCCACCTTCTCTCAGCAGCCCTTCCTACCGTCCAGAGCCCTCTGCTCCCACACTGGCCCCCATAGTGGCCCCCACGCCGCCACGCGGCCCCCATAACGTCTCCCACCCCCGGGTAGCCCCCACGCCACTACTCAGAGCCCTAGCGTCCCCAACTCGCGGCGGGCCCCCACACCACCAGGCGGCCCCCAGTCCCAGCAGGCCCCCACGCCGCCATGGGTCCCTCATCCCCGGCGGACCCCCACGCCGACACATGGCCCTCGCAGCGTCCTCCACTCCCAGCGGGACCCCACGCGCCCTGCGGCCCCCACCCCCGGCGGGCCTCCACGCCGCCACGCGGCCCCCCCACCCCCGGCGGGCCCCCACGCCGCCACGCGGCCCCCGTAGCATTCCCCATGCCGCCATGCGGCCCCCACCCCCAGCGAGCCCCCACGACACCACGCGGCCCCCACGCCGCCATGGGTCCCTCCTCCCTGGAGGACCCCCACACTACCATGCGGCTCCCACCCCCAGGGGACCCCCACACCGCCACGCAGCCCCCACTCCCAGCGAGCCCCCATGCCGCCACGCGGCCCCCGTAGCGTCCCCCATGCCGCCATGCGGCCCCCACCCCCAGTGCGCCCCCGCGCGGCCCCCGTAGCGTACCCCAGGCGGCCATGCGGCCCCCACACTGCCAAGGCTCCCTCATCCCCGATGGACCCCCACACCTCCACGCGGCCCCCACAGCGTCCCCCACTCCCACCGGGCCCCCACGCCGACCTGCTGCCCCCACTACTGGCGGGCCCCCGGGGCGCCACGCGGCCCCAATCCCCAGCGGGCCCCCACGGCGACCTGCGGCCCCCACTACCGACCGGCCCCCACGCCGCCACGCGGCTCCCATAGCGTCCCCCACCCCCAGCGGGCCCCCACGCCGCCATGGCTCCCTCATCCCCGACGGACCCCCACCCCGCCGCGCGGCCCCCACGCCGCCATGCGGCCCCGTAGCATCCCCAATGCCGCCACGCGGCCCCCACAGCGTCCCCCACCCCCGGAGGACCCCCACACCGCCACGCGGCCCCCACCCCCAGCGGGCCCTATAGCGGCTCTACATCGCCCCCCACAGCGGCCCTACACCGGCCCCCAGCGGGCCCCCCCCCGCTATCCGGGCCCCGGCCGCCCCCCCGAGCGCGGGGCCCACGCGAGCCCCGGGGGTCGCTTACTTCCTCCGGGGCCTGGACAGCTCCACAGGTCCGCGCCGAAGCCAAGCGCTGAAGAGGTCGCCTCAGCTGCGCAGCCGGGAACCGAGTGGCCGAGCGTCTGCTGCGCGCGACGTTAAGACCTCGAGGGCTTCCGGAAGCTCCCAGAAGCCCCCAGGCGCACACGAGAGAAAGTTCTCGGGGCGTCGGTGGAGCCGGCAGATGATTGGCTCTGGCGGGCACGTGACGGGGCAAGTGTTACTGTATCCACCTGCCCGGAGCCGAGCGAGGCCCGGAGGCTCCCGAAGGGGCGGCGAGCGGGGGGCGGGCACCTGCCGTCGGGGAGGAGGCCACCGGGGCCTGGAGGGCAGGCCTTGCGCCCCGCTGGGCCGTGTGGCTCCCATTTTCTTTTTTTCTCTTCATTGTTTTTTTATTGGTGTTCAATTTGCCAACACACAGAGTAACACCCAGTGCTCATCCCGTCAAGTGCCCCCCTCAGTGCCCGTCACCCATTCACCCCCACCCCCTGCCCTCCTCTCCCTCCACCACCCCTAGTTCGTTTCCCAGAGTCAGGAGTCTTCATGTTCTGTCTCCCTTTCTGATATTTCCTACCCACTTCTTCTCCCTTCCCTTATATTCCCTTTCACTATTATTCATATTCCCTGTATGAGTGAGACCATATAATGTTTGTCCTTCTCTGATTGACTTACTTCACTCAGCATAATACCCTCCAGGTCCATCCACGTCGAAGCAAACGGTGGGTATTTGTGGTTTCTAATGGCTGAGGAACATTCCATGGTATACAGAGACCACAGCTTCTTGATCCCTTCATCTGTCCATGGAACCGAGGCTCCTTCTTTTGAAGTCGCCTTTCCACTGTGGTTGGTTACGTCCTCAAAATGTTCTATATTTTTATTGAGATCTTATGGGGCGGTGTCAATTCCTGTGGCAGAAATATTAAAATGGCCATCAATAATTATGCAAAACCCTGTTTCTGTCTTTATTCTCTCGACTTCTCTGTCATGTGTTTCGAAGCTCTGTTGTTGGGTGCAAGCGTGTTGATCGATTCTACGTGTTCCTGGTTCATTGACCCTTATATCATCACTACCTTTCATGTCAGGTAACAGTCAAAGCACCTTAAGCGCCCTCTGTCTGATATTCATATAGCCATTCCCACTTTTCTAGGCTCACTCTTTGCATCGTATATAATTTGGGATTCTCTTACCGTCAACATATCTTACTCTCTTTTATTTTTTAAGATTTTATTCATTTATTCAGGAGA